TTGTACCCATTAATTTGAAAGTTATTGAATTGCGTAAGGTGGGTTTCAGATACAAGCAAAACGTCTATATGATATCGCTCTAGGAAAATTTCTAGTTCGTTTTTATGCTGGGTTATCCCGTTCGCATTCCAAAAACCAATTTTGAGATTATTCGTGGTTTAGCTAAAATGGCTTGAAGTAATAGATTTTGATTTTTAATCAAATCTTGTCCATGCTCTGCATTGCCATCATTTGCTCCTGCATAACTTTCATAAAGTTGTTTATAGTAGCTTCTAGGTTACTATTATTCTGACCAAAAAGAGGTTGTGTCGGAGGAGTATTTGTGAGCATTTGTGCATATGAAGTAAAGTTATTAACAGTCATTGGCGCAGACATTGGCTTAGCGGGTTCTGGTATGAGGAATATTTTTGGGAATTGTTTTCTCTTTCATTGAGATATGAACTGGACAACCTCTATAGTTAGCAAGATGATTTCCACCTCAGTTACTGCACTTTTTGGAGTTTGGGTCTATTTTTATACCCGAGCGCACTTGTGCACAAGGGTATTATAACTTTGTTCACATAACGGTTGTTTGTAACAGGCAAAACGAATCGAGATAGATATAGACAAATGTATACATAAATGATCAGAATGAACAGAGAAATCGATTAAGCGGTGACTGTCTGTCCGTCCGTCCGTCCGTCCGTCCGTCCGTCCGTCCGTCCGTCTGTGCACACGATAACTCGAGTAAAAATTGAGATATCTTAACGAAACTTGGTACGTGAACTTCTTTTGGGCGTGGGACGGATGGTATTGAAAATGGGCGAAATCGGATAATAACCACGCCTACCTCCCATATAACGGTAATTTTAAGAAATACGAAAACTGCGATATTTTAGTAACTACTGAAGATAATCCACTCAAAATGGATACTTACAATGAGTTTCAGACGGAAAACATGAATATTAAAAATTTTTGGAAAATGGGCGTAGCCACGCCCACTTATGGTTACATGTGTATATCTTGGTAACCGCTGCACCAATTTCTTCCAAACTTGGCACAGTTGTTGGCCTTAGTACAGCATACTAAATGGCTGAAAATTTTAAAAATCGGACAATAACCACGCCTACCTCCCATATAACGGTAATTTCGAGAAATACAAAATCTTCGATAAATCAGTAAATATTGAAGCAAATTTATTCAAAATTGATGATTGCAACAATTCTTTACCAAGAAATACGTTTATGACAAAATTTTGGAAAATGGGCGTAGCACCGCCCACTTGTGATCACATATATGTTGAAAATTGTTGAAATCGGACTAAAATTACGGCCGCTTTTTATATAACGGTAAATTTCAGAAATGCTTGAAACTGCAATATTTCGCACCCCGGCTTATCATGTAGCGGTAGCTTTCGGAAAGGTGGAAAACATATATTTAATACTTGCGCCGGGTATTTAATGTTCGGCTCCGCCCGAACTTAGACTTTCTTACTTGTTAGTTTCACACATTATTTAGAAGTGGGTAGATCCCCACAGATAACACAGACACCAGGTAAATTCCTGGCAGTTATGACATTGAACAGGGCCTCTACGCTTATGGGGTTCTTCTACGGAGATTTTACGGTGTAGAAGATATCGCAATTGATATATTTGATGCACTTCCCCTTTCTTCAGATTATGAAAGTCAGGTTCTAGCTCGAGATATTTGGACAACTATTAAATCGTTTTATTTTTGTTTTTGTGCTGTAAAGTTTTTAAAAATGTATAATTCAAGCTCAAATTTCATATTTAATTATTATTTATGTTTATGCATCAACTCTAAAATGTTTAAACAAATCAAACACATGGAGTATGAACCCACCCCGTCCGTTTTGGTATGGAACGCCCCATATATACAAACATAGGCTTTGTTTCTTTTCTTTTCTAGCAGATAATTATCAGGAAGAAGAAGAATGAGAAAATTGAAAGAATTACGCTCACAGAGAGCGAAATAACGAAAAAGTAAAGAAACGCAAAACTAGCAAGTAATCAGCTGGTCGGTGTATTTGACAATTGAAAATATTTGGCGCGAATTTCTGTTTATCCATTTTGACAGCTGCTAGTTTCTGCTATTAAAAATTTTACTACCAGAAAGCCAAAGTCGGCCGCTGTGGTGTAGTGGTAAGCCGTGCGCGCTTTCACTCATCAGCACCTGGGTTCAAACTCTGGTCAAAGCAACATCGCAAAAAAATATAGAAAAAGGTTTTTTCTTAAAAGAGGTCCCCCTCGGTAGGCAGTGGCAAACCTCCGATTGTATTTCTGCCATGAAAAACAGTTTCTCATAAAAATACAATCGCCGTTCGGAGTCGGCGTAAAACGGTAGGTCCCTCCGCTTTGTGTGACAACATCAAGGCGCACGCCACAAGTCGGAGGAGAAGCTCGGCCAAACACTAAAATATGTGTAAGCGCCAAATTATTATTATTATTAAGAATGAGAGAGAGCTGCTAGTTTCTGCTAGTTTTTTGGGTTAAGAAACGCTTTCCAGCAGAAATTAGTGATAATTTGTGATAATTATCTGTTAAGAAACAAAGCTGCTGTACATATCGAGCCCTAACCGCCAAAAAGATGTGAGCGACATCTTTTCAAACTTTTATTTTTGATGCAGAAATCCATCTGGATACTCTAGGAACATACCTTTTTTGCGGTTAGGGCTCCCCAGTAGATAATTTCAGGAGTTGAAAGCCCTTCTGAAAGGCCTTCCTGAGAGGCAAGAGGCGTTCCATTCTACATTCCTTTCTCCTTTCTTTTTTGTATGGAGTGGCACAAATTGAAGGACTACTTCAGAAGGCCTTTTGGAGGAATTCTTTTAAAGTTGCTTCTTTAATTTATAAAAATCATACATCTTTGAAGTATTTGCTTAAGGTTTATACCAAAATTCATTTGTAATGCTAAGTAATATAAATGTATGCATTCGTGTAAATTGTAAATGGATAAGCCCTTCTAAAAGGCTTGAAAGGAAGCCTTTTTTCAGCCCTTCTTGGCTAGGCCTCTTAGAATGGCTTTACTTAAGAAGGCCCTCTAAAGCTGAAATTAGTCAGTAACGCAGAACGTATACTTAAACGCAGTCTGTATATGCAGAATTTTGTCGATTACTGGAGCCCTCAGTGTTGCTTACTGCAGCGTTGTCACTCATCAACGCCTTTTCATAAACTTACCTTTCAACTAAAATTTTTCGTGCTATAATAGATCGTAGCTAAATATAAATTACTTAGTTTTCAACAAAAAACCTTATTCAACAGTAAATTTCAAATATTTTAAACTATTTTCAATAGGAACTTATAACTTTTTTACCATCTGCAAAACTGGCGAAGTGGCAACCATATATAGAAGGAAGAAATCAGCTGACACGGAAAAATCTAAATTCCACAGATTTCTGCGCTACGGGCTACAACTACAGAAAAATTCTGCGATGTTGAGTTATCATTTACATGGCGCTCTGGTAAGTAGGGATAAATCGATAGCGAGTAAGAACCCTATCTGTTAACTTATGCGTTATATACGCCTAGTACTACAAAAAGTTTGTGTGAGAAATTCAAAAACTTTCCGTCATTTTACATAGGGCTCCTGGAGAAATCTAACGCATACTCGTTTCAAGTGTGAGTAGTTTTCTCTTTCTTTCACATGGAATTCGCTATTATATTATACTATATGTAGTTGTCTCTTTTCAATCAAATATTATTATGCGATTAATAACGTGTTATATAACGTAAAGAATGGCATATAGATAACGCATTAGTTAACAGATAGGGTTCTTACTGGGACCAACGTATTACTCAAATCAGTACTTGTACTTGTATCAAACAAGGTATCGATACCTACTCAGTATCGGAAAGTTATCGAGTACTTGTACATAGAATACGATTTTACATATTTTCCAAATTGTATTTTTTTCACAAAAAATATGTTTTTTTACAAGATTATTTATCCTTGTTTTTGTTTTTGAGAAAAGCCTCTCGTAAGGGACAGATGACCCAACAACCGTTATGTATAGACGGGCTTGCTTATATAGCTGTGGAAATGTATTGTGCATATCTGCCAATTCCTTTAATGGGTTGCTTTTCAAAGATGAAGCTGATAGGGCTTTCGCACGAGGCGATTTTTCAGGCAACTTTTGCGTTCACCAAAATATAAAAAATATAAAAATATTCTCCATAAAAAGGCGTTTACATTATTCAACTTTGCATTCTACTTTTGGTGGAACGGCCTTTAAACTAATCGCTTTCAACAAAGTTGGTCGCCAGCCAACATTTAGCCATTCAACTTTTTTCCGTGCAACCCTGTGTGAGTTGAACGCAAAATCGCCTCGTGCGAACACCTTTTGAAGCATAAGGTTTGTATAGTAACCAATAGTCAGTACTAATTTGTACTGGAACCTGCAAATTTTTACTGAAAAGTGTATGATAACCCAAAAAATTTGCAAGAGAGCACTGAATCG